CTACTACTACTACTACTACTAGGGCCCCGGACGTTTCCAAGGTTCGGGCCCCGAAGGTCGAGCCGCCAACTGTGCACTATACTACTACTGCGACTACGACTACGACTACGACTACTTCTACTACCACCACCACCACCACGACTACTACTACTACTACTACTACTGGTCGGGCCCTGGAAGTTTCCCACGTTCGGGCCCAGAAGGTCGGGCCCCGAACTGTGCACTACTATATTGCTACTACCACCGCAGTCCCCCTATTACAACAACTACTACTACTACTACTACTCCTACTACCACTACCACTACCACTACCACTACTACTACTACTACTGCTCGGGCCCTGGAAGTTTCCCACGTTCGGGCCCCGAAGCTGGGGCCCCGAACTGCCGAACTGTGTCGAACAGCAACTACCACTACCACTACCACTACTACTAGCTCTACCACTACCACTACCACTACCACTACTACTACTACTACTGCTACTACTACTACTACTACTACTACTATCACTACTACTACTACTACTACTTCTACTACTACTACTACTACTACTACTTAGAATTCATGAGTGAATGAATGAATGAACGAACGAATGAACACAGGGACGAACAAAATGAATGAACAACCTGTTTTTTCTGACACTTGGATTGCCTTCGGCACTGAGCAGAATGGGCTGAATGTGGCTGTTTGGAAATTAATGTCATGGTGGGGGTCACTCGAAGTAAAGTAATTTTCTCAGAAGAGCGTACATGTAGTACCATTGAAAAATTTTTCAAGCATGTTGAAACTCATTTCCCAAGCAACTTCTGGAATCCACAGTGTTTGCCCAAACACTCCCACAGCTGACGGACACTCTCAGGTAACCCTCTCATGGGCTAAGCCCATTCTACGAGAGCTCTCAGAGGTGGGTCGAATTTGGAGGAGGTGATGTGAAATTTGGGATCCGGAGTTTGCTGCACAGGTTGTTCTACGACATGAACCTGGTTTAACACAAACCTTAAGGACTGGGCACTCAGTTGAACAAAAAATGGTCCAACCTTGCAGTTAAGAACGGCTTTGGAACCACCCACCCCAAATTCAAGGGAGGATGTATCAAAGTGCAAAGCTCCTGGCCTCGTTTCGCAGGACATCTCGTTCCCACTCGCAGGGGGGCTGGGACATCGCACCCGATGCAAGAGCAAAATTGGCATCTCGAGACGGAAACAGCTAGAATTAAAAGAGAGCGGGTGGTCATGGGGCCTGGGTTTTTGTTTTCCCTAAAATTTTAGGTACATGCTTTAGTGGCAGCCCCTCTCCATATAAACACACATATCTTTTCTTGCTCTCACTCTATATGAACAAATATTTTATGTATTCCTGAGTCAGGATAATTTTATTGTTTTGGAAGCAGCAATCAGTCATTCAGATGGTTTGAACAAGATAATTAGAAAAGACGCAGGCCATAAAAGTTGTCGTTTTAACAATTGTCCTCTAGATCTCTGCTTATAGTTATGTTTAGATTTGGAAAGATTGTGTATAGACGCTTTTATGTTATAAAAGATTCTTTGCAGATCTCTGCAGATAATCATTTTTAGATTTAAACAACCATATAGAAACCTTGTATGTTAAAAGCTTTCTTCTAGATTTCTGCGGGCAAGAGCTTGCATTTTCAAAGCTTTCCTCAGGATCTCTGGGAAAGTAGATATCCCTATATGTGTTTTCATGAAAGGAAAGCCCTTGAAAGAAAGACTTATTTATTGATATATAGCATGTTTAAATTGACATGACCATTTCCAGAGATCCAGAGGAAAGCTTTTGAAAGGAAAGCTTATATATAGTTTTATTGTAGAAATGATCATCCCCAGAGATCTAGAGGGAAGCTCTTGAATTAGAAGCTTGTACATAAAACATGTTTAATATGTATATATTATCTCCAGTGATTACCCACAATAAATAAATCTTACTATTTACTCCAACAAAGAGTTTTAGTCTTGTTCCCAGCACTTCCAGGGCAAAAAATACTGTAAAACACGAGGTTTTGTAGCATGTGTTTTCTTAAACTAAATAGACTAGAGCTAGAATAGAATTAGGTAGAATTAAATTGGATTTGAGTTAGAGCTAAGATAAAACTGAAGTAAAACCGAATTTTAACAAACTTGTATTGAACTATAACTATAGCCTAATTGAAATTAGATGAGAGTTGAATTAGAAAGGAATTGGAATTAAAAATTAGAAGTTCGCCAGAATAAGATGTAAACGTTTGAGCTATAAGCTCAGAATTACGCTCGCAAAGATTTCCAACCGTTTCATGTAAAGGACAGAGTGTCCTCGCAACTGCATGTCAAGCTGTTTGGAAATGCGAGTGGCAACCGCATTGATACCAGTCAGCAGTTAATGCACTCAGACTTGTATATGGAGATTTGGACAAGGACGAAGGAAGTGTTGAGCTCGGACGGTTTCAGACGCAAGCAAAAAGAACAGATGCCTTGAGCTGAGAAGTAAGCTCAGATGCTAAACCAAAAAACCTTTTGAGAAAACACAAGAAAACACAAAAACAATTCTGAGAGACTCTTGCTTGGACCCCCCCAAAATCAGAAGAATCAGAAAACCAAAAAAACCTTGGGAAAACAAAAAAAACAAAAAAAACAATTCTGGGGAAGTCTTGAGGAAAAGGGGGTCCAGCCAAGAGTCTCTGAGATTTTTTTTTGGTTTTCCCAATTTTTTTTGGTTTTTTGGTTTTTCTGATTTTGGGGGGTCCAGCCAAGAGTCTCCCAGTTTTTTTTTGGCTTTCCCATGGTTTTTAGTTTTTTTTTCTTATGTGTTTTTTATCCTTTATGCATATTTATCAGTGTTTTTTGGTTTTGATTGTGGCACTGATGCATTTACCTAATATTTATGAAAATGTATGGAAAACCAAAACCCAGGCCCCATGGCCACCCCTTCTGAATTAAAATGAATTAGACGTCCTTGAAATTCGAGAGGCAGAAGGCTGAGAAGTGCGCGGGATTTGCCCGCCGGATTTCCCTACTCAAAACGAAAAATAGACAAAAACTTCGGACAGAAGCGGAGCAGACCCAGCTGAACAACCTTTTTGTTTCAGGAGAGCATGTTTCAGTGCCATTCGACAAGACTTAAACCACCTTAAACCAAATCTCAAAATATATAACATCATTGCTCGCATATGTTTACATACATGGAGCGTTTGGGGTTACTCTTGCCAATCCTCATGACTTGGGCATGTTTGTGCACGTGAGTCCACCAGGTGCCGGTGTGGAAGGCGCTGGCCAAATGCCACCAGCAACGCACCAGTCGCTACTTACAAGGCGCAGCACGTGAGTGAAATGACTGTAGCACGTTTGCCCGGTCCGCCGGTATTTACTCAATCAAGTATTTTCTTAGAGGATCGAATTCGCCTGCTTGTATTAACTCACTGTGCAATACGCTGCACGTGTTTTGGGCAGGTGACAATGCCACGGTCAACTGTGACGTCTCCATTCCAGCGGATGTGGCTGAGAGCCCTGGCCGCGTGTCTTCGGGCGGCGTTCCAGACTTCCAGCGGCCGAGCGGATTTTGGGAGTAGGTCACAACGAGTCAGCGGTTTTGGTTTTGGATACGTTTTGTGCCTATGCTGTGAAAAAATCAGCCACCTTCAACGGTCGTACTGTAGTGACTAGTGGGCTATCAAAGCTCGACTGGCTCAAGAAAGACTAGCTGGGCTGGGCGTTCTGGGCATTCAGCCCAGTCGGCAGACCGTCCCAAAACTCCTCCCTGGCCTGCCAAAGGCATCCAAAGGCCAACGCCATGGGGTTTACAGGAACTTCCAATTATTTCAAAGTGTGGTAGCTGTTGTTCACGGCAAATACTGATTCAAAGGCCGTTTGCAGTGTCCTTAAGGATGTCGCTGGGCAGATAAATGCTAACCAAACGAGTGGAGTTATCTACAAGATAGTGTGTTTCTTTTCTCACTGCCATTTGGTTTGATGGCCATTTGAGTCCCATTCTGAACATGTCTTGGAAGGTCTTTGGATCATGGCGGCCCGACAGATGTTCACCACGCTTTCTTCCGTTCGCTCCCGCGCAGCATGCTGCATCGTCACATCTCGTCACCGTCCCGTCGCATCGGCGGAACTGAGGAAGTGGTCGGCTTACGGAAGTCTCTTGGAGGCGTCGGATCTTGGACTGGAGGCCTTGCAAGAGGTGCAACGGCAATATGAGGCGCACCCGGAGGGGCCAATAGAGGGGCTGCAGGGTGCGAAGTGGAGTCCTGGAGGGAGCCAAGGCGCGTGACATTTGACGAAGTACGATTCTGAATGGGGACGTTCGGGGGTAACAGATCAAGAAAAAAGATATGCACAACAATCCATTGAACATCCATTTGCCAGGAGTTCCATGTCCGGGTGCTGGTTGGGTAGAGGTTCCCAAATGGTTTCCATATGTTTCCATCGCCATCACTCACCTTCACTGGCCCAGGGTTAACACATCATTGGAAGGTCAATTCGCCTAGGCATTCCGTTGTGGACCGGCCGAGGGTGCCAGAAAAGATCCGAGAATTCGATTTGATCAATTGTTTTGTGCTTATTATAATAGATTGATTAGGTCCCAATGATATAGATCCCAACATTCTGCCGCTTCAGCGCGACTTCTCGCCACCGTCGCGAGCAGCGACGTGACGACGTGACTGGGTGAGGCGATCCAAAGCGTCATCGAGAATCATTTGCCGAGCTACGAGGCTGTGAAGCTGCAGGGCGGATGGAGCTTTCACCACCGGAGCTTGATGGGTTCGTTTGTCCTGTGGAGCTGGCTGCGTGAAATCCAAGGTTCGATTCATAGGATTTCACAGGTTCATGTTGTTTTTTGATGCAGTTTTGCTATAGGATCATGCCAATGGAGCTTCCTAGGTTAGTTTTTTGCTTGGAGCTGTGCTGTAGGATCATGCCAATCGAGCTTTCTAGCTGCGCTGTTATGTATGCAGGATCTTGCCACTGATGACAACCATCATGCGGACAAGCACCTGACAATTGAAAACGGTGAAAACGGCACCCCCACCGCGGTGAACACGGACCCCTCACGATCGACTTCCACCGGTGCTTTACGTGGGGATGGACGGCCAGATCCAAACCTTACGTCTAAGCGTTGTCCTTGTGTTCCTGAGGCGTGTGTCAGGGTCAGGGTCTCACAAAGCAGTGCGAAGACGTTCACTGTTGGTGAAGCCTAGTGGATGTAGTGGATGTAGTGGCCCCCTGTGTGGGGGCGCCTTGAGAGTGGCCGTAAGCAGGCTACTTCACCTGCGCAGGTGTTTTGTGCCCCCCCAAACAGTCCAAGATGAAGTCATCAAAGTTGTTTGTGCCGGGGTCCCTTGATCACCTGATATAAGCTGTCCCTTGTTGAAAGATGGCGGATACAAAAGTACTGCCTTTTCTGTATTGTCCGTGATTTTTGTTGCACATGTGGATTATCGATTTGAGATTGTCACGGGCAGCAGACTGGTGCTCAACGCCCGTTGAAGTGCAGGCGCTTACACAGATGTATCTTCTCCGCTGGATGAGCACTTTGACGGATGAAATCGCCGTGCAGGCTGGCGGCCGTTGCCGAACCGCTGGCGCTAGCGGGGGGCCGTACCTTTTGCCAGCACAAAGACGCCACTGAAAGCTTGACACCATGCTGCGGAAGGGTCAGGTGCGTGCGTTCGACGCACTTGTACTGGTTCTCTTGACACAATTAGATGGATGGATGGATAGATCATGATAGATAGATAGGTAGGTAGGTAGGTAGGTAGGTAGATAGATAGATAAATAGAGATCAATGATATAGGCCAGGAGGCACCAGAAAGTGCTTTTGATGTTCCATTACAGTCAGGATGGGTGACTTGAACTTGTTTGCGGGGGCAATTTGTTGATGGCAGAGTGTGACTCCGGTGGTTCGAGAAAACGTAGCAGTATTGGGTTTCAAACATTGCACAACTTCTATTTCCCACCTTGCTTGCCGCAGGCCAAGTTCAAGAACTTTGGTATCAACCGCAGCTACTACAAGCTCCTTCCAGAAAAAGTCGTCCGTGTTCACTTGCAATGACGCAGCGCATAACATATATATATATATATAGTTGCCCAAAGATTGCCAACTTCTAGTACAGGATCACTGATCGCTAGATCTTTTTGCCATCCTGGGGATATAGTGCAAAATCCAGACAAAATGTCTGCGATGTCACCACATCGACACAGGTGTGTGTGTGTGTGTGTGTCAACGCCTATTTCTAAGGCTTTCACACATTGCAAGTTAATTCAAAACCACTCAAACTCTTTTAAAGGCAGGGTGCACGGCGGCCGTTCACCTAGCCGTGCTAACAAAACTATGGTGTTCGGCTGGAAGAGATACTGGACGCAGTATCTTGTACCTGCAAATTTTTTAATGGTAGTCACACTCAATTTCACCTTTGTTAAACAGTTCCGTTGAACCGACCCAGCACTCTTACAGTTCCTGCGAGTCAAGGTCTAGTTCCTGCAGCGGGTAACGTAATCACTAGAGTGAGACCCATTTTTGGGGGACTCTCACTGACTTTCTTTCGTCCCTCTCACGTGAACTTCATTCTGAATACCACTGGCTCGTTTCGTTCTGCTTGAGATTGCTGATCGAGTGCCGCAGGGCCCACTGAAGAGTCCTCCACGCCGCTAAGTACTCACATGTCATGAAAAAAGATGCGTGCCATGCCGCTAAGTAATCTCTTTTGGTTCTTTTCTCTCCTGCTGTTGCTTTTCGTTTTCTAGGTCTTTGTTTTGTTTGCTAGAGGCTTTTAAGTTTCAGGTAAACTTTTAGTCAGGTATGCCGGGCCCCCACGGCTGATGGGAACTTCACAAGGAGGGCCTTAACGACAGCAGAGGCGAGCAGCATGCTGAACGCCTTCTTGGAGATCAGCGACACAGACAGAGCCACAACATCGCACTCCCTCAAAGCCACGACCCTAGTGCGGGCGGCTCGCTATGGACTGGGCGACAAGGACAGGGCTATGTTGGGGCACCATGCCTTGAAAGAGCACTCCCTGGCTTGCTACTCATTAAGCGTAAGGCCAAACGAGAGTTGCAACGCAAACAGACCATGATCGCATGCGAAGGAATTTCATTTGCTGTGTTTTCTTTGAGTGGAGTTGATCTTGAGAGAACTAACTCCCGGAGGGCAGCGTCGGGCCCTATAGCTGATCGGCTTGACACGGACATGCATTTGCTGTTGCACGTTTCATTGTTTGCATTGTGCATCATCTTACTTCACCTCTTTTAGAGCAGTCATGGTGGCCACTTCCCTTGCCGATAGCGCTGCAGCCTTCGAGAAGCAAGCGGGCAACCTGGGCTTGGACAACGAGTGGATCCAGGGCCTGAAAGGCCTGGGAATTTTCGCGTGTGGGCAGCCCGGGAGCGCCGTCAGTGAGGCGGACGTGCGGGCATTGCTGGGGCAAGCAGTTCCAGCAAAAGGCATCACCGTGCGCGATGTGGTCACCATGAAGGGCCTCATTTTTGAAGCGCAAACCAGCATGATAGCGCTCACCAAGGCACAGGCCGACCCAGCCGCAGACCCAAGCTCCAGGAAGATGCCAGCTGCCAGCACGCCTGGCTAGCCAACGTTCCAGGTTGACTGGCTTGGATTTGCAGGGACCTTTGAAGGTAGCACACTCAGTCTACGACCTCATCAACGGGATGGTCGAGGCCGACACTTTGAAGTATGTGGGGCGGACGAGAAGGCTCTACATGACGCGCCCCTGAATACAGAAACATTCCCAAAGGGAAGAGGTTCCTGGTGCTCTCTGAGATGCTGGAGGAGATGAAGTATATCCCGACGCGAAGATCGTCAAGGACATTCAGCAGGGCTTCGATTTAGTCGGCACGGCAGACATCCTACCTGCAGACTTCTTGCCTGCTTCGTTGACCGTGCAAGACCTGGCAGCCCACTCGAGCCGCAGCAACCAGGCTATTTAATACCATTCCACCAAGTCGTGCGCAAGGAGCTGTGGCGAAAGACTCTGGCAGAAGTCGAGAAGGGATGGCTACGTGAGTTGAAGAGCATGCCTGAAGACGATGGCCGGCTCTCACGAAGGTTCGCTGTGGTGCAATCGGAGGGCAAAGTGCGACCCATCGACAACTACACTGAATCCCAGATCGTTACAGGTCGCTGCACATCAGTGCCACGGGCGTCGAGCTGATGAAAGCTCTGGCTGCCGCCAAACGTCCTGCTGCCCTCAAGGGACGGAGCTTCGACCTCAACACCGCCTACAGGCAACTGGCCGTGAAGGAAAGCTCCCTGAAGTGGGCCCGGTTGGCAGTCTTTTGCCCTGAAGACAAGAGCACGAGATGCTTCCAGCAGAACTCCCTGCCATTCGGTGCCAAGGGGAGCGTGGTGGCCTTCCTGAGGTGTGCCCGAATGATACAATGGTTGGCTCATCAGATCGACCTGGCCGCCACTTGCTACTTTGACGATTACGTCTGTTTCTCCCCAGCCATCTTGGCTGACAATGCCGAGAAGTCCTTCGAGCTCTTGTTCGACCTGCTGGGATGGGAGTTCGACAAAAAAGTGGAGAGAAGTCGGATGAGATGAACGAGCAAGTGACTGCGCTGGGAGTCCTTTTCAACCTGCAGGTCGCAAGGCATCATCACAGTGGCCAACACCGAGAAAAGGAAAGCAGACATCTCGGAGCAAATAGCTGAAAGGGAACAATGTCTTCAGCGAAAGCCGCCTCCTTGAAGGGTCGCCTTGGGCTCGCAGATGGACGGGCCATCAGAAGATTGGTAAATGAGTTGCTTCTCGAGACGACCAAGATAGCCCTGCGCATGGTTGGAGAAAGAATTGCCAAGGCTGGGCCGCGCAGGGTCGATGCCAACACGGGAGAGGTGCTGTATACCTGTTCACTGACGCGAGCTTCGAGAGTGAAGCCAGGCGGCGGCCTTGGGGCGGTGCTCATCGACCAGACTGGCAGTGTGGTCAACTGGTTCGGGTGTCCTGCCCCAAGGATCTGTGTGACTCGTTCATGGCTGATGACCAGGAGCAAGCGATTGGTGAGTTGGAGGCCCTTGCTGTGTTGGTAGCCTACAAAGCATGGACGTCCCTCTTGCAGTCCAAGCATGTCATTTGTTTCTTGGATAATGAAGGGTCCAGGTTTTTGATCCCACCAACAAAGTGTTGGAGAGCATAGTGCACGAGATAGCGCTGTGTGAAGAAGAGCTAAGTGTGCTCGCCTTGGTATGCCCGGGTCCCGACTGAAGCCAACATCGTGGACCACCCTTCCAGAAGTAAAGACCACCCGGCTTTACAGCCGCACTTGGAGACACACGTGACAGACGTGTTTGCCATCCTCGAGTGTGAGGTCTAGGTGTTCTCAGCCCTGAAGAACGGGGGAGAAGTGGTGGGGGGGCTGAGAAGCAAGGACTTGAAGTCCCCCGATGTGGTTAGTAAAAGAGAAGAGTTGTGCTGCGGAGCTTTGCACAGTCTTGCTATGTTGAAGTGAAATTGAATGCAAGTAAATGAAATAATGAGGGCAGTTGGCGAAGTCAACAAACTTTTGTTTCAATGAAGTGTACTTTGATGTAGGAAACGGAATCAAAGCTTGCATTCAATTTTCGTGTTCTCATCTTGAGGATGTTCATTGTACATTAGATGTCATGTTCCATGAGTCATCATTGCTCAAGGGAGGTGGGCGGGAACCGCCTGTTGTGCGAGCCATCTTTTGGCCCACCCACCACCCATGGATCACCAGTTTGTAGCCTACTTGCAAACCCGTCAGTGCGTGGTGGCGCTGCAGCAACTGGTGCGCTTCGCTCTGATAGCCATCGACGATATGTCAGCGACGCCATCGAAACTCACGACTTCGTGACCGTGCACTGGCGTCAACGAGTTGAAGCAGCCCGTGTGACCCACCAGGATCTTGATGCTCTCTGCCAACAGCAGATCGCACATATATAATATATTAATATTAATTCTCGAGAGACTGCGTACCCTGTATCGCGACAATCGCCATACCAGTTGGTACTAACCAAGCAGTCCCCTGTACCGTATGCCTAGCCCACCGTCCGAAGTGGTGGGGGCTGAGAAGCAAGGACTTGAAGCCCCCCGATGTGCTTAGTAACAGAGAAGAGTTGTGCTGCGGAGCTTTGCACAGTCTTGTTATGTTGAAGTGAAAATTGAATGTACGTAAATGAAATAACTACAGGGCTTCTAAAGTGCTAATGCGTTCCCTCCGTCTGCTAGGTATTCAGTAAAGCGGCTAATGCATAGACGGTCTGCTAGGTATTCATGCAGTAAAACGGCTAATGGATAGGGACCGCAGACTTGCACCAAACAACTGTTCAAACACCTTCAAGTCTTCTGACCCTTTGCCTTCCGGTTCACGCATTTTGCTCGTATCCTAACTGATTTAGCACTTGCGAGCATCAATCCAAGTGTGTTTTGCCACAGAGTCCCACTGCGGGCTGTGGTGTGATGCCCAGCGAGGGGCGCAGCATGTGCGCATGCCCTTAACAATAACCCTTCCCTGATCCCCGGTCTTGCACTGGGTTCCTCCATCGTGAACCTTACTTGATCTTTCGCTCTGCTCGAAAGTGCCGAGCATACGCCGCAGGGCAGGGCTTGCTGAGATCGAACTCCAGCACGGATGCTCGCATGCGGCTAAGTAGTCACATGTCCACGTCAAGCGGCTGGGTAATCGTAGGCCACGCTGCTAAGTATTCACATGTCTTTTTGGTTCTTTCTTTCCTGCTGTTGCTTTTCGTTTTCTAGGTCTTTTCTCGTTTTCTAGAGGCTTTTTTGGTGTAACTGAAGTTTTTTAAGTCAAGCGAGCGCCGATGAGGGCTTCTTTTGCCAGTGCCTTCGGGCCAGTGCTTTCCACCCCACCCCCACCCCATACCCCCTGCACCCTTTCTTTCCTTGCCTTTTTCGTTTGTTTGGGCTCCTTCAGGCTTGTTAGGTCGTCGTTTAGTCAATGCACGCCTTGCCCATACCCCCGCACCCCCTTGCACCTTTCTCTTCCTCTCTTGCCTTTTCGTTTGTCTTGTTCTTTCTCTCAGGCTTGTTGGGTTGGCATCCAGGGACGTTTAGTCAATGCACTCCCACACCTTCCCCCGCCCCCGCGGATGAAAAGGAGCGTGCGCGCCGATTCCCGGCCTTTGGTGTGTGTCCACACCTGTACCAAAGGAAAGGACACCATCCCATGCAAGTTAATTCAGGCAGGGGGCCGGAGCCGGGTGGGGGTCTCTGGCCACTGAGGACACCCCCCACCTGGGTGCAAACGTACCTGCGTTTTTCCTATTTTTTTGTTTTTAAGCATTCTAAAGGGCTTCTAAAGTGCTAATGCGTTCCCTGCGTCTGCTATGTATTCAGTAAAGCGGCTAATGCATAGACGGTCTGCTAGGTATTCAGTAAAACGGCTAATGGATAGGGACTGCAGACTTGCACCAAACAATTGTTCAAACACCTTCAAGTCTTCTGACCTTTTTCCTTTCGGTTCACTCATTCTTTTCCTCGGATCCTAACTGATTTAGCTCTTGCGAGCATCAATCCAAGTGTGTGTGTGTGCGCGTTGAAAGACACACGAGCAACCACCAAAACCTGCATGCTAATAATTAACGTAGTAAAGAGCGGTTGTGAGTCTCAGGAATTAGGCTAAAACCGGCAAAAACGATAGGCACCCCTCAAAAGCGATAACCCATGATAACCCTATTTCCATCTATTTCCGCCGGTTTGGATATGTTCAGCAATGTTGACATTGTGGCTGACTTCTGCAAAAACAATAGCACCCCCTCAAAAGCGATACCTTCACTGCGGGTTCCTGGCCGGCTTCGTGCTTTGAACCTCTCCTCTCCATCACCGCCGGCTATCACCGGTCACCGCCGCTCACCCAACACCATGAGGTCAGAACTGAAGGACAACACGAGGTTGTGGGCGGAGGACTACCAGCCGCTGGCTTCGGTGTTCAGTTTCGGGTGTCAGCGTAAGTCGAAGCGGTTCAGGGGCCCGACAGGTTGACGTCCTTGGCGGTATTCGGATGGATTCGGTCATGTTGTGGGGAGTCTACCATATTTCCGGCGTTGGGACCCACAGCATCCACAGCTGCCATAACCAAATTTCAGAGATTGATGCTGTGGATAGGCAAGGCTACGCATGAAAAAGGCTCGGAGGTGTTTGCAGTCGAGATTCCTGCCAGCCGTTGGGCCGAACCGACCGCTCGGTTTGAGCCATGGTTCCATTGCGCCTCTTCGCGCTGGGACGTTTCGTCATGAAGTCGGCGGATGCTGGCGTTTTTGTTCTCCCAACATCCGATATGTGTGATTTCTGATTCTCTTTGTCATCAATTTTGCCTTGATTGAAGAGGGAGGAGGGAGTGTCAAGAACAATCCAAAGCCCTTGAGACAAATCCATCAATTAGTCAGGTGGAGGCTTTGCCACCTCGGATGATGCATGATGAAACTCAGGCTTGTCATCAAAGGAAGCATTCATAGTGGGCTTCCGCAGCATCTCGGCCGCTCGCGAAGTGCGTGGAGCGCCGGAGCTTTGAGGGAAAGCCAGGGCTAAAAACGGCTGGAGGGAGGATGGAGGTCTGAGCAAACATGGCTTTGTGTGTAATTATTTGTCCTGGGCTTCTGTACTACAGTCCCCTTGAAAAAGTCTTGGAGCGATGATTTTTTAAACATGGTTTCATGTCAGAGTTCCAGGAATGAAACAAAGCCCCGGAAGAGGCCAAGCAGGATCTCCAAGGCAACAAGCTAGCCAAGCCACAGAAAGCACAACTGAGGAACAGCATTAAAACATGCACCGTGGGCGTGGAAAGGAACTGTTTTGCATCCGGACCCTCGCAAACTATATGCAGGGATTTGCAAATTTTAGGTTTTGGTTTTCTCCCCCCTGGACTATTTGAGATTCAATGTTATTTTTCATACAAGGTTGACGAAGACGTGCTCTTTACACTACATGAATTTGTTGAAGCAGAGCTGGGACGTTTTCTACCTCACCGTGCGCAAGGTCATCTCTGCAACTCAACCGCAGTTTATTTATGTTATATAATGCTCATGTTTGAACAGTTGAGTGGGTCTCCTAAGAAGGAGGCCTGGTAGAGCTCATGTTGAAAGACAGGCCGAGGACGAGGATGGGTTGCGGATCAGATTCAGTGCTGTTGTTGCTGACAAGGAAGATGAAAAAAGACACAGAGGGAGGCGGACGTTTTTGGAGATCAATGTGTCCTTTGTTGTTTTTTTTGTGAATTGGTTTGCGGGATACATGTTCATCCTTCATGAGGTGTGAAAGATGTAAAGGTGCCACCAAAAGACAAAAAACTATTATTGTGCATAGTCTAATGTCGACGTCGGATTAATCAACGGGCCCCCCCCCTCCCCCCCCTAGAAGGTCAACAAGGTCAACAAGGTCTGAGATTGGAGGTTTTGGAGATCACATCCCCCTAATAGTGGGGATGACCTGATGATGAAAGGGAATTAGTATTTGGAAGAATTGAGATGAAAGGGAATTAGTATTTGGAAGAATTGGAATGAAAGGGAATTAGTATTTGGAAACGAATTAAATACACATATATATTTAAATAAATATATTTTTCCTGGGGGGACAGGGGGTAGACTAATAGGGGGGGGGTTCAGCCAAGCAAAATTTTTATTAGAGGGTGGTGACTGTGGAAATTCATAGTTCAAATTAGTTTATTATTGGGGCCTGAACGCTGGGTAGACTAATAGGGGGGGGTGCCTAATCCTATGTTGACATTACCTAAAATAACCATAGTATAATTTATATTTTAGAGGGCCAACTATCTATATGCTAGATGTATCCTGCACTCGAAATATCACAATCACTGAGGCTATTGAGTTGTCCCGCGAAAAGTTGTCCTCCCTTTGTTTGACGAGCAGTTTGCAGGGGCCCTTCGTTTGAAACACCTCCACTCGCTGGGGATCTGGACCATCGAGTTGTGTTAGTCATCGGACGGGGTCTGATGACTAGTCCGCGCGCCGTCGGACAGGCAGACACCAGTATCTCCACCATGATGCTGAGCTCGACGGATGAAATACAAGACGCTGGGCACAGCTTTAGAACAGGTCGCTCGGTCGCCCAACGCAGCGAATCTCTACGACTGCAGCAAGGTATTAAATGCCTAGCTAAATACCCTTTGCGCACGTAGAGACAATGGAGAGCCACAGGTGCGGTGCCCATTTCTGCTGGCCATTTAAGAGAACGGGGGGTGCTTTGAACCGGTGCCTCCCAGTGGCACAGTCGTTTTTTGTTCCCGGCCGAATTTCATGGTTTTTGTCATAGATGAGCCTAGGAAAATTAAACACAGATGAACGAAACAGCTTCATCGCCTGATGGTCGGTGTTACCCCTTTTCATGAAACCCATGACCGTGCCCTATGTCCTGACTCGAAGATCTTTGTCTCAGCGACGATCCCAGGAAGCCATCAGCAACACCATCAACTCTTTGGATCCCAGCTACAGCTTCCGGACAGAATGAAGAGCCGACCAGAAGGAAGAGCTCGTTCTCGGTGATGGGGTGATGAGTTGGGAATCCACTCAGCACCTGTTCGAAACACATGTGACACTTCAAAAAAAGAACTCACATGGACTCGGGTTTCTCATGGCCACCGATGGTCTTGCCTGTTTCCCGAAAGACCTGCGTCCACAAAACTCAAGCCGCTCCGTGCAGGGGACCGGAGTTGACCTGCGGGGGGTTCCAGGGAGACTGAGGGAGTCAGTTTTCGGGGCATCGACCCCACTGAGCCCCCACCCGACCGCACCGTGGGGGTAGAACACACGAGGCAGCGAGCGAGCTGTGAAGCAAAGCAGAGGGTGAAAGGAAAGATGCTGATGGGGTTGGTTCCTCAAGAAATCACCCGGTGGAGTAGGTTGAAAGAAGTGAACCAACGGGCCATACCTTGGAAGATATCAGAATCATGTAGTGTACGGAAATTGGATCCAAGGGACTGGTCCAAGGACGCATGGTCATGCATTGTCATGGTTTCGTGCATGGCGCGAGCGCTCAGGCAGATCAGGTCTGTGAGTCCGATCACGAAATGACGAAGACGGCCAATTGTAAACAAGTCCCAGAAACTTATTCTCTCTCCCGTGACGAAGCAAACTGATTATTCCTTCCAGGCTGCCCGAAAAGTTCCTCTGGGATCCTTTGGGGCGTTTTCCGTTCTCGGTTTCTGGGATCGCGAGGGCGCCTGCGTGCCCGCTTGAAAAGGCTGCGACATGAAGAAACACATCAGCTCTCATCAATTCCTTCAAGGCTTGAAAAACTTGAACTACGTCAGGACTGCATGTGGGAGAGAGAGGAACCTGGAACGAGTCGGAGAACAGACCGGGGACTTGAAGCTGTTCAGAAAGTAAGAAGACATTCTGTGTTGAGTTTTGGATGTGTGCCTGCTCATCCGCTGTGATTGCCTAAGGGGTCGTCCACATGCTTTGTGATTTGAATATCTTCACAAGGATGCAGGTGCTGTTCGGGCCGGAGAGGCCCAGAGAATGGGTGACCAATAGCTTGATTTGTTTGCCCTTCTGGCAAGAAAGAGAGAGCCGCCAAACTGAACCATGAGAAGATGCAACAACTTGCCCAAAAGACGACCTATTGAAAATTGAAAGGGGGTTCGGCTGCCACAGAAAAGTGCCGTTCTGAAACAGGCCGAATCCACGTGGTGGTTCTCACACGGTGATTCAGGAAACGGGTCCACATGGCGGCCTTCCATTTCTTTGAGATCAAGCTGCTTCGGAACGGAGAATTGACTGAGAAGATCTTGGCAAAGAAGGTGGGCAATCAGACTGCTGACTGCTGGAAGAAGGTGAGCGGTTTGAAGCTGGCTGAAAGAACTCAGCTGTTTGAAGCAGCGGCTGTGCCGTGTGCGTTTGCAGTGTCAACACATGTCAACACAGCTGGCTCCTTGGAACCAACACATTCCAAGACCTTTTGCACCGGTGGATGCTTGTGGTGTTTGCCGTCAGTGAGGACCCCCACTCACTCACGTGGGGGCGTGGAAACCAGCCATCGTCTTCCCAGAGGAGCATCGTCTTCCCAGGGGTCGGACGAATCAAACCAGCCCATTGAGTCGGAAGGGACGGTCCCAAACAGACGGAGCTTCACCAACCTGATGTCCAACCGTCCAACGCAGCAACTTGGGAAAGGAAGAAAACACTCAGTTTATCACGGTGAACCCGCAAGAAAAAGGCAACCAGTCTCTTTTAAGGCTATTTTTGCTTGATGTGTTTGTGGTCAGTAACAAATGGACCTGGTGGGACACTCACCGTGTCACCATGTTCCGCCAAGAACGCAGTCCCACGACCATCCCTCCTCTACCAACCTACCAGGGACTCTTGGAGATGCATGTTTCTTCTTTTTTAAGGAGTCTCAATTGAAAGTGCCTTTGAGGGCAAGACAGGGGTACCAGCCAGGCACGCCAGGCTTCCAACTAAGTTTGGTCACCTTCCGTCCCCGGTCGTGGCCATGACTCGCATGAGTCGTGGGCAAGAAACCTGAGCGAGTGAACTGCGCGCCAGCGGAGCTCCGTTTTGGCAAACAGGCAGAACTCGAGGAGAAGGTTGCACATGAACTCTCAGACGCCTCTACTTCCTTTTTGTGACCTGACAGATCATCGACCTCGCAGAGGGTTTTACTGAGTTGGTTGGTGGATGTTGGTGGGTCGGCAGCATCCGTAATGATTTGGTCAAGCCTGGTGAAGCCTCCAAAGTCAGGTGATGTACTGTAAAATTCTGTATTTATTACGTGAACATTAGGATTTTGGATATAAAATTGTGATGTGGATCCTCGGTCTTGTGGGGGATAGCACATGTGGCAGCGTAGGCCGCAGCGTAGGTGTGAACCCCTGGGTGGAGAAAAGGAGACACCCTCTCAAGAGTACCTCCTTGTTGGGAGTGAAGGGGAGATGTCCACTTGCCAATTGCTGGTTTGGAGGATGTTAGTTTATGAGGCCGCACTCTTGATAATATTCACATATCTTCACCTTGACTTCAAGTTTTATGTAGAAACGGTCACAAGTCGCTGATTGTTAAAGACAAATGCCAGACGGAATCACAAAGAAAGCCCTAAGCCTTTGTAAGATTTTGTAAGTATATAGCTGTATATAGATACTCGGAGAACTACATGGGATGTAGTTGAACCAACCCAGAATCCATTGAATCTATGACTTGGGCGCATGACTCACACGTGTTTGGGCACCAGCGAAGGTGACAACAGGAATCAACGTTAGCTAGTTCTGTGATGTCAAGAGGTATGTCTTTGAGATATGTTGAGATATGCCGAGGTAGATTTCGTCCTAATACCTAAGCAAGGGCGTGTGCCAGTAAACATTTTTGGTATTTGCTTGTTATTTATTGGTTTAAATGTTCCATTCTGGGGGGCCAACAGCTTGGAAGTCGAGCAAGGATGCATTTTGCTTCGCTCCTTTCTTTGGCCCGAGGCAAAGCATTGAGGGCTCTGTGGACATTCCAGTGGCCCCCTCCGAGGACCACTGCGGACATCTCCACGTTCGTTCGGCTGATTTGGGATAAGTTGGGGGCATTGCGGGATGTACTCCGTTCTCAGAATTTCAGACACCGTGTTTTTGAAAGTTGGAACACAAGGCACTGGCCAGGCATTCCATCTACGTGCTTTTAGATTTGTTTTAAAGGCAGAAGCTATGATTTTTTGTCATATGTTTGTTTTTCCCTAATAGCGCTTAACCGCGTGTGCTTGGAAGGCAGAACTTTGGGCATATTAAGCCAAACATGCCTCCATAGATGGCACAATACCCAACGCACCCTTGACAGCGTCGCCCCTTGACACTATTTGGCAATGGGAGATGCAGCAGATGCAGCAATGGGAGATGCAGCAGCTGCAGCATTGACTTGCGTGACAACATGGAACCATCTAGCCATCTACCCATTTTGGGGGCATCCTAGTTGTGCCATCCTATTTGAGATCTGTAGTCCTTTTTTGCGACTCAACTTTCGTTCTTCGTGCTCGACTTTCTCCCCAGGATTGGGATGGTAGTGGAAAACCTGGCCCTTTGTTCCTCGTGCGTGTGTAGAGGCATGTTTGTAGGAAAACCACATGACAAGATACCAACAACTGCAGGTCATCATGGCCTTTCTATGTATATAATTGATTTATGATGTAGTGCATTGTAGTGCCTTTTGCTCACACATGGTGTTGCCCACTGTTCTCTTCAACGCTCCTCAAGGGCTTACTATTGAGGACCAGTGCATCACATGTTCTACAACGACCTCTTAAGGATCCACGCCCAGTATACGGGGTGGTCTCTCACAGTCGTAAGGAGGCACCGTTAACGGGTGAAATTGGTTTGGAAACAACAAGAGGAACTGTTCTTTTCTTAGCTATGGGGGTAGTTTCCAACGAGCTGGAAGAAACAACAAGTAAGAAAAGAACATGAACACAACACATCAACGGTTGTCTTTGTTCGGCCCTAGGGATGTGACCGTGGGCCCGGTGTCCACGGTCACTCGGCTGCCCGGTCCGCAATGGGTCCTGTGACAGGAGATCCTTTTAAGGCTCCTTACGGCCACTGGGATGCTCAGAGCTTGACACTGTGTGAAACATGTCCAAACCTCAACAAACCTCGGATGCCAGTTGTTTGGCATCCTGGACCTTAAGGAGTTAGCAAGATTGGGATTGGGATGCATCAAATTCATCATGGGGTACCAGCCTGCCGTTTTTGGTAAAAGCATTGATTGTCAGGATAGTTTTCTAATTACTAATTTGTTTTGGTGCACTCAGTGTTTTGGTCCAAACCCGACTTCAGGGCGATGTGGTTTGGAGAGCTGAGAGCAGACGACAGACGGAACTGAGGTGCAAACTGATGTGATCTCGTTGGTGGCGCCTCGGACGGGGACTGTATTTTTGGTGGCCTACGCCCTGGTGGTCGCCAGTGGACACTGAAACACATGTAATATATGATCATCATGTTTATTTGTTTAAGAAAAAGTCAAAACCAAAAAACACAGCATAGATTTGTATTTATACACTGGCGGACACGAGTTTGAATTGCTTGGGGCTTTCAAGCACCTGGAGAACTGTGTCAGGGCTTGTAGAGGTGCCTTTATCTATAGCTGCTGACTACGGCCCTTAAGAGTGTGATGTTGAGGAGAAGCAGCAAGAGGAGGACAAGCAGGATCAGCAAGAGGAAAATGAGGAGCAACATAAGCTGCAGTGACAGCAGCAGCAGCAGTGGTGAGAGCAACGAGGCTCTCGTGCGAGAATTCCACTGAAGTCCTCAGAAGGCTGCAGCTTTGAGTCCTCAGACCTCCGCCAGTCACCAGTCCGCCACAATGATAAGCCTCCGACTCATTAGACTCCCGTGCAGGGACGATCCAACGATCTCTCCGGAGAACTGGGCGTGCCAGGAACATGGAAAACCACCACCTCTTTCTAACTTTTACACTCCCTGACATCATCATGGAAGTGGAAAACCATGGAAAAGTGGAAAACCACCATATTATGTTTGGTATTCGGATTTCATGGTCATCGGAAATCAGGGCCATGATTAGTTCAGGGAGTGTAAGGATACCAGGCACCACAGCGAGCGAGGTACAGCCGGTTCCAAGCGTTGAGCCAGCCCTGCATCGCACGTACACGCGTCAAAGGTCTCCAAGTTTTTTTTTTTTGCCTGCTACGATTGAAGGTTTGTATGTGTATGTGTATATGCATATATCATATATATATATATTTGTTGGTATATGTATAGTATGTAACTATCTATATATTGGGGATGTCCTATTGCCTGTAACAGTCGGTACACAATTATCACTATGTTAGGGAATGGCTTTTACTAACCATCATCATCCACTGTTATTGGGAATGGGATACACACAACATATATATATAAGGTTAGTTAGTATGGATGTTGACGGGTGTTTTTGTTTGCTTCAAGCCAATGTTTGAAATTTGGGTCCACCCTATGTAGTGGTTCTTAACATGTTGCTGCACAAGGTTTGTCTCAAGTTATTTTGAATTGTCCTTATATTGCACCAAAAGAACGTTCGCCTCCGGACACCCCCAGTGTTTTTGCATAAGGTTCTTCCCTTAACTTTCTTGGTGAACAGCATTAAGTAACTATTTGTTGTGAAATAAGGACCCTGAAACACTTACTGTAGGTGATTAATTGTAGTATTTTTTGCAATATTGCTTGTTGAATATGACTGACTCACTTGCTTCGCATGTTTGGAGCGTGGTGCTAGAGAAATGACCCAGAGTCATGATAGAAAATACATCCACCGTTCACCCCTGATGCCAATCTAATATGGTTTCCGGATTTTTGGAGAACAGATAGTGACACAGTAGTGTCGGGTGTTTGTTTTGCCGTGTTGCCAGGAATACATCAAGCACGGGATTGATATCCAATCCTTTTCGCTCACAGTGCTTGAGACGGTGGAGCATTTGAGCAACGCCATTGACAAGGAAAAGCTCGGAGCCTCGAGCCGGAGCCTCGGGGCCCTGGAACAGGTATACCATGGTATACCAGGGCACCGCCCTTGACACCAGCACTGAACTTGAAGGGTGTTGTTGGGATTTCGTTTGCGCCCATGTTTTTGGTTCTAGCCAATGGGGCGTCTTCGGTTCCGAAGTTCGGGCACACTGGCATTCAGACGTACTGGCAAGCCACACAGCACATGTCAAAATAGTATTTGTTTATAATGATGTTCTTAAAGACAAATTCATGAAAGGTTTTAGTTATTTATGATGTCCTCCTTCTGTCACCTCCGGACGCTCTTGCGGGAGCCCCTGAATGGACTCCAATGGCAGCCCAAATCCTCCCGAATCCTTCCAGTCATAAAATGTCCATAACAAACTCATAAAACAACAAAATCATAAAACATCATACATTTTGTGTTTTTCCGATGACCTGCAAGAATCAATAAACGATTCTCACCATTTTTGAGAAAGGCCTTTTATTAGCCATCATCATCCAGTGTTACCGGGAATGGGTTATACCCAACATACATTTATGATTTTTTTTAGTGGGCATGTTTTTAATGATTGACTGCTTCCGTCACCTCCTGACGCTCTGGCAGGAGTCCCAGAATGGACTCAAATGGCAGCCCAAATCCTCCGGAATCCTTCCAGCCATAAAATGCCCAGTAAAAACAAACAAATCTGTCATAAACAGCTTTTCCTTAGGAAATCCTCGGAGCATATCGAACCATGAATCCAATTCCCCAAAAAATACATGAACAAAAAACTCAACACAGTAATCCTTGAAATAGGCCCTCTGGCTCATGCAGTTCGTAAAAAGAATCATAACACTGGTGGGTAGCGATTTGGCATTGCGCCTTTCCACATGTGGGGGGAGCGGCCATACCCTTGGGGTGTCCCATCACTTTTTGTTGAGAAAGACCTGCAACCTATCCATCATCCACTTGGCCGGAATGGGATACCATACCATACCATTGAGCTGATGCAAGTTTACTGCATTAGCCTGGCCGCTGGTGCAACCCGCAGGACATAGACAAGATTGCTTCGGACTACCTGCACGTCGCGATTGATGGCAAGGGTGCGACTGGAATTGAAGACACCTATTTCGCAGATAGGCAAGGTGTGCCTTTTGGCAGCAACACGCGCACATATGCGTGTATACAGAATTAGGTATATGTTCATATGTTTTGCACATATATATATATATATATACACATAGATCGCATAGAAGGTATTTGGTATATAGCTGATGCCATGCTGACGCCAAGCAGCAGGCAGGTCGGTTCCGTGTTTGCACGGTTGTTTTCATTGCAGGCGGGCTTGTAGGGTTTCCGTGCTATGTGTATACAATGTAATATTACGAACATTATATATGTATGTAAGCTTCATCCATACTTGATTCGATCAATGCACATCGAGATTGTTTATTTCTTTTGAGGCTGGGGCAGTATCAAAATTATCCGCAATGGAACACTTACCATGTCCATATAGGGTTCTTTCTCTACACAGATGTATGTAGGCCCGCTGGCCTGCTGGAAAAGAGGACTCCAAACTCATCGCACGCCCAGGTACTTGTATGAGATGATCAGGGAGGCCTTGTGGCTGGCTCTGCAGGATACCTCGCACAACATGACGGATAAGCGCCTTGCCCAACGATGTTCATCAATCAGGTCTAGAAATGCATTGTATATGTTGGTGGGACATGGTCGTGATCCCTTGGTTTCAACAAGATGCACTGCAACGAAACTCGTGAGTAAAACGCACTTCTTTTCTTCTGGTGACCTTCGGTCTTGGGTTGACCGCTCGAGGTCTTGATGAGGTGTTCACACCTCACGGAAAAGGGGCTGCAGCATTCACAGCACTTCCAAAAAGCATGTCATCCTTGTGCAGGGGTCATGCATCAACACTCCCCCTGGCTTCTTTGAAGACACCAAGGTGCCATGCCCCCCACCACACGAGTACTCCAGGTCAGAGACCCTTCTTCCAGCGTGTGTGGTGGTGACAGGCCAACCATCAGCTCAAACTCATGCTTCGACAGCGTCCCCAACTGTCGGCTCAAGGCCAACCAGGCCGTGTGGCAGCAAGACAAAAGCAACAATGCCCATGCATTGGTTGTACACAGCTCAACTGTATCGTGCAAACCATCAGCCAAGTTCATCATCTCTTTCTTTTCTTTCAACCATCATGGTCACTGACCCCATCAAAACCGCAATGCACTCAGGCATTCGCTTCACCATGGTGGCCAAAATGGCCTTAGGAAGGTCATCCAAGGCAATTCGGTGACCCCCTCCTTCTTTCTTCTTTTCTTTCACATGTTGAGCTCCCGTTCACGGAGATCTTGGAGGCAGCGAACACAAAGGCTATATTTCTTCTCGGCTCCTGTGGCGCAGTTGGGCGGCCGTGCAGCATCTCGATGGTAGATCTCTTCCCAACCACGAGACCACAGCGGCTCACCCCTCCTGACTGCGGCCATGTCGATGGTGAAGCCACACCTGTGGCAAGGAGGCGAGCTTCGAAGCACCGAAGAGATCAACGTAGGACAGGAGCAGAAGATGTGGTACTTCTGCCCATATTTGGTGATGAAAACACCCATTCCTTCATACCGCTGGCCTCCATCTCCAATTGGCGATTCGCCAACATGTTGGAAAGCTCGAGGGCATGCCTTCGCGGCAGCTTCTGAGGGACCAGTTGGTCGAGGCATTGGACTTCATCGGCCATCATATCACGGTAATCCGTTTCAGAGGGATGATAGAGAGTCTCATCTTCAACAGCAGGTGGTTCTTGAAGCGGTACTTCATGGTCACCAGCCAGAATCTCCTGCTCAGGCTCTTCCTGGATTCCCGAGAGGGTGGTGTCTGACTGAGCCTGTGATGTGGGGCCTGAGGACCTGCACCCTTTCTTCAGGCATCAATGAAGACAGCCAGCGCAGCAACCATTCACGATTCTGCAACCCGAACTGGCTCCTTTCTTCAGCGGACATAGGACGCGATGGACCATACGCCCCAGTCTTTAGAATCATCTTCATGGTGCTCGTCCTGTCCTTTCCCTTTCCCATTTTTCTTTCCTTTTGATCTGGCACTTGGCCTGTTCACTTCACGGCCCTGCCAGTCCACCGTGATGGAGCTTCCTTGTGACTCCGTAGTGCAACTGCCTGGTGATCCAAGTACAGGCGGCTCGTATTAATGCCCTGCGGCAGCATCTCCATCTTCAATGGCCGGTGTGAACAGCCAGGCAAGGATCCGGCGAAGGAGCAGAGTGGAAAGAATGACAAGAAAAGTGTAGAGCATCATGAACAGTTGCAGCGGCTCTGTATTGGCCTGGTCAGACGGATCGTCATGACCTCCATGGGCCTTTGACTTGGCGATTAAGACCATGAGCACCGCGAGTTGCAACTGCCACCCCGTGAAGTTCAACTTCCTTTGACTTTCATCTTCCTTCTCTCTCTGAACTTCTTCAACTTCATTCTTCTTTTCTTTCCTTTCTTCGCTTACGGCCTCTGGGCCGTCCTCCTTTTCTTTCTTTCTTTCTTCCCTTACCGCCTCTGGGCCATCCTCCTTTCCTTTCTTTTCTTCATCCACCTTCTTGTAGGATCATCGGCATCAATTCTTTCAGCTCCATGGTCCGCTGGATGGAAAGTGGTTTTGTACCCAGGTCGGCAATCATGATGGTGCCAGGCATATGTCTCACCGCCAATCGAGGTTGGTGATCCTCCATCGTACATGTTGTGCACGAAGCCTCAAATGCCTGGTGCGCCAATTGGCATGATCATTGGAGAAGAATCCTGTGGCAGCCAAGTTATCGACGAAGAGAGTCTTCACATAAGGGTCTTCGTGCTCTTGAATCATACTGTCAACAGCATCTCCAGGGTGGAGACCATCAATGGCCTCCAACAACTCAGATTCGGCGGTTGCCAAAGCTGGGAAGGGCTGGACATCGAAGCACCACCTCCATAGGACCATCACAGCGCCATGGGAGGCTTGGGTTTCTGTATATAGATGCAGCAAAGCTCGAATCCGTGTAGACCTCGAGGGATTTGGGTCCACCGTCCCAGCCTTCGCCCTTTCCGGGTCGAAATTCCAGGCCTTCATAGTTGACTTCAGGTATTTCCAGACCTGGGTGGCCCGTTCAATCACCCAAGATGGTGAGGTAGGATTTCTTGAGCACAACGACTTGTGCGAATGCAACATCGGGTCTTGCGCGTGTTGATAACCACATCAATTCCCCAACCAACTTTTGGGCTGCGTTGACCAATTCCGGAGTTGGATCTTCGGGCATAGGAGCAGCATCTTTTGACATAGGCACCTTCACATTCTTTCCTTCTGGCACCCCTTCCTTATCTTTAATGTAGTCTTCTTGTGATGCCCGGTACCCTCCTTCATGGGTTTTTGTGATTTCCATACCCCAAAACTTGACCTTCTCACTTCCAATTTCTTCGGGCGTAGAGGTTTCCCACTGGGCTTGTAGGACTTCGGCAATGGTTTTGATGGTGCTCTCATCGCTGGTGATCATCAGGTCATCGACGTAGACCAGGAGGAACCCAACAACCTTCTCTTCCCGATCCTCGTCATCTCCTTCACCAAGCATGATGCTCCATAGATTTGGTTCGGCTTCAGCTTGGACAAAACAATGGCCTTGTGAGGACTTCATACTTCTTAGCGCCTGGTCACGGTAGACGCCCCAACATCTTGGTGACTGGCGAAGTCCATACATGGTCTTTTGTGCCAGGTAGTAGTCTTTAGGTCCCACATGACCCGTCTTCAATAACAGTGGCGGCTTCAAGACCACCATTGTAGGTTCCTGACCATGACCATCAGCCTCGATGTCCAAAGGAGCATTGAGAAAGGCCGTGCGGATATCCAGAACGGATGCCAACCAGCTTTCTTCAGCTGATCGCTTCAGGACATAGTGCCAGCAAACGGCATCAGCGCCAGAAGCGTAAAGGCATTGGTCCTTCTGGTCGGCTGTTGATGGATCAACGAAGTTACCACAAGCCACCAACCTGATCTTTCTTCGTGGGCCAGGCTTCAAGGTGATCACCACTTTTGACATCTTCCCCACTTTTCTTGTATAGTGCTTTGAACTCAACTTCATCTATTCGACGGAGAGCCTGCTTTTCTTCAAACAGTTGGTGGAGCTCCTTTTTGATCGCTTCATCCCATTTGGGAGCTTCGCGAAGAAGTTCTTTAGGTGACACCACCCTTGTTCGGAGGACAGGTTCATCTTCCTTCGGCATCGCACTCTTAACCTTTCGGAGCTCCTCATAGACGACATCCATGACTTTCATTTCATCTTTGAGCATAATGGCAAGAACGATGTTTGAGATCCTTTCGATGTGACGATCCCTCTCCTTTTCCGTCACTTCATATATTCATCCTCCTCCAACTTCATACTCTTAGCTCCCATCTTTCCTCAAATCCTCCTTCGGACTTCATAGGGACCTTCAGCTTCTTCAGCCGCTTTGGTGACAGCGGTCTTCATGATGAAGTAGGGCACGGTAGCAGTTGATCCATCGTCCTTCAACACCAGGTGTCACTGAGCATCAGGTCTACGAGGCGAAGCGTGCGAAAGAAGAGCTCGAAGCTGGTGAAGGAAAAGAAGATGGAAAAGAAGATAATAGAAAAAAGGAATAGAGCACCCTGGCCCGTTCGACGACTGGGCAGGGGAACACTGGAACAGGGAGGACAAAAGACAGTGTGGATGAAGCCCCGAAGGGAAGGCCTACTGCATTGGCTCCTTTGGCCCCACCGGCACCTCAGGTCATGCAGCCCTTGTTCACTCAGGAGCAGATTCGCGAAGCTAAGGCATCTGCTCGACGTGCTCCTCAAATCTTCGGCCCAGGTTTGATGCCCTCTTCATCAGGTGATGATCGGCCCTTTCAGGTCTCTCGGCCGGCTTTCCTCGAAGAAGAAGAAGAAAAGAGGGAAGGGAAGAAGGGTGGAAAGAAAGAAGGGCAGCGAAGGGTGTTTGAGATGGAAGAGGATGAAAGTGAAGAGTTGAAGCGTTGCGAGGAAAGCCCCAACGACTTTCATAGGGTCTGCTATGAACTCTTAAGAGCGGGATGAGAAGGAGGAGGACATTATGTGGCGATGGCAGATCTCCAAGGACATGCAAAAGCTCACCGAATTGCGCCACGTTCAACAACGAGAAAACGATCGACTTCATCAAGAGCTCTATGAATGGAGGATTGAGGATGAAGAAAGAAAGAGGTTGGAAGCTGAGGCCAAGAAAAAGGGAGAAAAGGAAGAACCCGAAAGGCCAAAGAGTGCATCCAACTACAATACCCCGGAAGAGGTTGGTCAAAGTGGGATCCTAGGGCTAGATGATCTACATGCTCGAGGAAGAACACCCTGGTCGACCTTTCCTGCCCGATATGGAGTAAAGGGATCTCGCTCCAGGTCCACAGAAGGTACAAGAAAAGGTAGAAGCCCTTCGAGCAAAAGCATCCCCTGAAGTTCAACAGATGGAAGTCGTGACACTTTTGGTCGAAAGTATGAAGTCTCTCCAACGTCAGATCTCAAGGAACGGTGAAGGGCGTGGAAATCGTTCGACAGGTCGCTGAACTGCCTGTTTTACACCTTCTACATGGCTCCACCTCACGGCTGCAGCTTGGTGATTGGTTGCTTTTGGTTCAGCCTGAGAC